GAGATGACACACATTAATTGTCCAAAGCGATGTGCGGAGTTTCCTTGTACTTCAGCTAACAGATGCCAGTTCACTGACTAAACAGCGACATCTGCTGCATGGGGACCTTTTATTAATTTTTGCCTCGTTTTACAACCACTCCACATGTCTTTAACATCTGTTCATAAACTATCTATAGACATTTCCTAAGTTTCTTTTTTTAATATAACATGGCTGTTAATATTGAATTATACTTTTAATGTAAAAATAAGCATAGCTAATAGCAAGAAAGTTTAAAGAGTTTGGGGCATTTTATACCCAACACAAAATTTGACACGAGGTTTTTTTTTAAGTTTTTTTTTAAAAGATTTTTGTATTTATGTATTTTCAGAGAGGGAAGGGAGGGAGAGAGAGAGAAAGAGAGAAAGATCAATGTGCGGCTGCTGGGGGCCATGGCCTGCAACCCAGGCATGTGCCCTGACTGGGAATCGAACCTGCGATGCTTTGGTTTGCAGCCCACGCTCAATCCAGAGCTACGCCAGCCAGGGCTTTTTTTTTTTGACATGGGATTTTTTTACAATAAAACTTTCAGAGTACGTTGCAAGACTAGCGTCAAATGAGTCTGGTTGCACACACCAAATACATTTAAGGCCCAGAAATAAATGGCAAAAAAAAAAAAAAAATAGGTGCCTCTGTGGAAATGCACTCTGGGTGAAAAGTAAAGCAGGAGACTGTTTCATTTTCAAATGTTCTATTCTCTTGTTTTTATCTTTGTTATTATAATTATCATTTTGACTAAACATTTTAATTAAATTTAAATGTATAGTATGTATCAAAGAGAGGGTAAGTATCCTATATAAATTGATTACATTATAAAGTGTCGAAAGTTAACAATGATGTTAAGGCCCTGTTAATATCTTAAGAAGCATTCTGAATTAGAGTTCATTATTTCAGTATAGTTGTGCTACTATTATTTTACTGGACACAAATTATGAACCTTCCAGGACACACATGCATTTCTCTCAAGTTAATTCTGGGCTTCATGATCCATAATCAATCTACTCCTTTGCTGGCAGAGTAAACTGTTGCAGCGACAGTGACAACTAGATTATCAGGTGTTGTTTCCCAAAATCTCTTTATTGCAGGTAGTTTTTATCCAATTAACTTTAATAGCAACAGACCCAAGAAATCTACGTTCTGGGGCTTAAGATTACACGTAATTACAGTGCCTTAGTGTACCTAATCAGGCTGAAACAGAAGTGAGCCAATGATGCTTCTTGGAGGGAAGGATCTCGAAAAATGGAGCAGGCGTGTCATCTGTACAACGTTTGTATGTTAAGGTTGAAGAAACGATCTTTGAGGTGCAGAACACAATCACCAAGTGGGGAAGGGGTGCTGATGACGAGGGTGTAGGGGGCTGCGACAGTGCGTTTCGCAGTACACGCATCCCACGAGGCCGCTGAGCTGCGGAGAGAGGGCGGCGCTGGAAGTCCAGGTGACACACCCGGCCCGGCGGCCCGGCTCCAGGTCTCCCCACGAGAAGCTGGGGGCGCGGCCCGCGGGACGTGTCCACTCGCCTTCATCCCTCTCCCCGCCCCCGCACCTACCGTGGAACCCGAAGTGGCCGATGCTCTGGCCCTGCGCGTCTCGGGCCGCGGCGCTGCTGAAGCTGCCCCGCAGCGTCTTACCCTGGCTGCCCGGCGGCCACCAGCAGCAAGTGAGGGCCACTGCCAGTAGCCGCAGCAACCCCATCCCTGCCTGCCGCTGGGCACCCGCACCGCGGCCGCCAACCACCAGCGGCTACCGGTCCCACGTCGGCAGCCGGAGAAGGGGGAAGAGGGAGCCGGACAGCACCGCGGGCCCGCCCAAAGACGGATAGCCAATGAGAAGGGCGCCTCCGCCACGAGCCTAGGACATTCACCAATCAGAGGCTGAAATGGGCGGGACATGCAGCTGCCCGCGTCCCATCACATCCCTACCTTTTGGCTAGTTCCCGCCTTTTTCTATGGAGAATGAGGAGGATGTTGCTTCAGGTTACGGAAAAATTATTGCCATCGCGGTCCACTGCGCATGCGTGTGAGCGCGGTCCTGGGCTCTCCACTTTCCAGAAGCCTATGGGTTTCGGAGAGAACAAACCCACGGCAGCACCATTTCTGGCGAAGAGAGGAAAACGGTCGAAAAGCACTAGGTGCCTATGTAGCCTATGGACATTTCCACTTTAACACCTCAAAGATAGTTAACTGTAGTTGTCCAATCGATTTTTTTCTTGTTCCCTGTTTTCTTGAATCACGTTATCACCTACCGGGCCAGACAGCTGAGAATTACCTCCACGCCCCCAGCCCTTACTGGCTGCATCCTGTCAACTCAATGCAACAGATGTTTATTGGCGCCTCTCCTGGGCGGTGATGGTAGGAAGCAGGAGCCACTATCCTCTCCAGGACGCAATAACATATAATCTTCTTACTTGGCCTGTGGCAACTGGCCTGCCCCCAGTGTTCATGTTCTCCAACTGGCTACAGCACACAGCCCATCCCTAGAGCCACAGAGAGTTTTGGAAAGTGCAGTTTGACTGCCTAACTTTCCTATAAAAGTTCTCGATTGCTTTTAACACACAACGCACTCTTTAGCTACGGTTTTGGGGCCTCTTAACTTTCCATCTCTCGGCTTTTTTTTATTTCCATCCTTAGTGAGCCACTGCCAGTCGGCGGAATACTGCAAGTTCTCGCTTCTGGGCCTACAACCCTGGCAGATCCCTCTGGCTGGAATGCCTGTCTTACTCTACTGCTCAATCTCCAGGTCACCTCCCTGTCTCTACTTTACTCTTCTTTCCCACGGCTCTTTTAGAACCGTTCTCAAACCCCCAAGTGTGTGCTGGATGCCCTGGGAAAAGGCCCCGACTTCCCTACCCTTACAGGCACTTGCCACAAGGTATTTTAAATCTTTATTGGTTTATGTGAATCCCCTACTATACTGTAAGCTCCAGCTGGTCAGAGACTATGTCTCTATAAGAGTAGAAGCTTGAAATTATTCCATGAATGAATGTATACAAATTATTTTCATTAGACTACCAGCGTTATTACATAGAAGCAAATTCTCACACTGGACCTCACCTTTTAGGAAAAGAAAGCTTAGGGGAATACTTCTTATCATATAGCCAGCATTTTCTGGTATCTCTGGTACACCAGGAATAAATTGAAGGTATTAATATTATGAGATTTTTAATAACTATATTATATATTTTTTAAAATTTTATTTTAATTATTGTTCAAGTTCAGTTTTCTGTCCTTTACTCCCATCCCAGTGAAAACTACATCATATTTTAATTATAAAAGTAATTCTATGTAGCTTAGAAAAGAACCATGGTCAAAATTATATGAAATAAAAATGCAAGTCCTCATTCCCTCCTTTCCTTGCTTAGACCTGATGCCCAAAGGTAACCCTTGTTAATAGTTTAGGGCGAGTCCTTTCAGACATGTGTTTGCATATATTTATATGTGGTATTTGCAAACCAAGAAAAGGAATAAAATTGGTCCTGCAAAAAAAAAAAATCAGAATATGGGCCTTGAATACTCTGAGGCCTCTTTTTCTGTCTCTTTCTTTTCTTTGTTATCAAGTCTGTTTTTCCCTCTCGGTGAAAACAGGCTTTTTTGATTCCTCAGTTCATTGGAGTGAGTATGGCCACCAGCAAGTCCAAAATGTGTAGGTCCTTAGAGTTCATGAAGAGCAACCAGACTACCCTAGAACCTTAGTCCAATTCCAGATCCCAGGAAGAGGCTTCAATAGGTGTAGGGTGAGTCACATGACCATCTGGGGGTCTGCCCAGAGTGGGTCAAGTTGGGAAGATGAAAAAGGGCGGGGGAGTCTGGTCATATAAAACCGTAAGTATCCACTCCAATAAATTTGGTCCTCATTCTATGGTGGTACATTTTTTTTAAAGGCTATATATCAACCCTTGAACTTAAAAACTGTGACAGTATTAGTATACATTTATATTTTGTCATTTTTCATCACTACGAGCAATTCAGCAATCAACATACCTGTGTTTTTCTGTAATTACCTACACTATCCATCATAGAACTTGGGAATCATAGGATACATACATTTGAATTCTGCACATATACTACTAACTTGCCCACGAAAAGGTTCTTACCAATGACTCTTTTATATGTCTGGGTATTCCCATTCTTTTTAGGCACTGCTAACACACATTGTTTAAAAAGCCACAAGGTTTTTATTCACCTACTTAATAATACTCACTGATGGTTTATTCTGTGCCAGGCTTGGTCCTGCGGCTTTGGGATTACATCAGGAAACAGCCTCTGCCCTCATGGAGCAGGGACAGTAAGCAATTCAACATAAATGTTGATAACTGTTTCGGAGAAAAATAAAGGGTAGAGCTGTTCGGCAGGGCTGGAGTAGCGCTTGCTATTTTAATTTGGGGGGTCAAGGAAGGACTCTCTAATACGGCGACATTCAAACTGAGAATTCAAGTAAGGGTAAATACTAGGCAGACATCTGGGGAAACAGCAGCCAGGCATATTCAGGGAAAAGCAAGGAATAGAGGCTGGGGCAGAGTAGGAGAAGATCTGAGGGTAGGATCTAGGGAACATCTGTAATAATAATCGTAACAACAACAGCAAAAGGTCATTTGGCTAATCCAACCTCCCATTTCTAGACTTTTGCAAGAGAACTCCTGGGGAGTTCTCAACACAACTGGTGCGTGCCTGTGGAGATCGCTGTAGTACAAGGTTGACAAGAAGGTAATCATTCATAACTCCGACTACTTGTGCATCTAAGTAAAGCCTAATTCATGCTGGTGACACTCTCCCGCACAACGCGCCAAAGCCCACTTTTCCAGACACCCACAACTGCAGCTACCGAGCCAGGGGACTGCGCAGAGAGCTGCGCCTGCGCAGTGGCGCTGCGGGGGTGTGCGCACCGGAGGGTTCGGCCCAGCCCTCCAAGGGGCGGGGATAAGTCCGCCACGCTCCGGAAGCCGCCCCTGCCAGCCCCTGTAAACGTGTCGGGGAAACTGCGCCCGTCGTAAAAGGTCGCGGTGGAACCTCCCTGCGGTGCCGAGACCTGTGGCTTTATGGTGCCAGCCACTGCTGAGCCGGGAGATGTCGGCTGCGGGTGGGGTGGATCCCCCGGGTCCTCCCAGCAGCTTTGCGAAGCGGGTCCTGGTGACCGGGGGTGCTGGTTTCATGTAGGTAACGGCGTCGCTAGCCGAGTAGTGGCTCCCCAGAAACCCCAACCTTTTCTTGCGGCTCTGCTCGCTCTAGGCAACTTGGGACCAGCTTTGGGTGCCTGATAAGGGGAGGGTCTTAATGCACGACCAGACGTTTATTTATTCAGCTGAATTAAACATTCTCTCTTGGTACTAAACGTTTTGTGCCCCCTCTTCCACCCGCAGTCAGCAAGTCCTCTCTCCCTGCTTCCAAAGTCTATTCTCACGGCCACTCCTCACCTCCCTTCCCCTTCTACCCCAGCCCAGGTTACTGGTTGGTTGGTTGGTTGGTTTTGCCTAGACTACTACTGTAGCATCCTAATTGGGCATAGTGCTTCTGTTCCTCACAAGTCAGTGTTTATTAAGTGAAAGTGCATCAGACTTAGACTAAAATCGAGACTCCCATATCCTGAAGAGTCTCAAGTGCCTGGCACTACTTTTCCAATCCGCTCTCCTCCCAGTCTACCCCCTTCTTTTCTGTGCCTTCCCGACTGACCCCTTGCCGTCCGTGGAACGTACGAGGTTCCTTCCTCCTTTCTTGAGGCCTTCACACTTGCTTCCCCTTTTGCATCATTCAATTCAGACATGTATTCAGGCATCACCTCCTCAGAGAGGCCTTCCCTTACCACCCTATCTAAACTACCCCTCTCCCTACTAACACACTTATCACTACCTGAAATTGTATTGTGTATTGTGTTTACTTGTTTTTATTGCTTGCACCCCCACTTAAGGATGTAAACTGAATGAGGGCAGAAACTATTGTTCTTTTCAGCACCAAAGAGAATGTCTGGCTCATTTTATAAAGGTCTTCAGTAATTGTTGAATGGCTGAATGCATAAGTACAAACAAGAAGCTCTCCCAATGTCTAGCGGGAGAAGAGGAACATGGGACTCTCTCTCACCACCGGCCCATTAGCATGTTACATCTCCTCTTCTGATCTGACAGTGACTTGGAGGAGGGTATCAGGCCCGCAAGGTTGACTTAATGACAGCAGGAGCATGGACATAACAGGGTGGTACAGGGGTGATACTGCTGGTCCAGGAAGGGTACTTTCAGAAAACACTGAAAGGGCTGTCAGGTACAAACTCTTGAGTTTGTGATTTGGTTGGGTGCTGCCCTTGATCCTGTCCTTGTGTGGTGTATATGATAAAATCTGGTGAGTCATCTCACTGAGCTGTGCCTGTCCTTGCACTTCAGGGTCCTCTGAAACCCAAACCTAGGAGTCACTGTGGATATTGAACTCAGGGTGGTGTCAGCTGTTAGCCTTGAAAACCAGGTTTAGTCTGAGACTTGCGCTCTGCCCCGCACCCGGCTTACACCATCAAATTCTTGTACGAAGAGCTAGCAATTACTATGGACACAGACAACTCCTATGCCTGTACTAACTTAATTTTTACATAGTTACACCTACAGTCTGAAAAGGCACATTATAGCCCATTTGCACTGACCACCAACCACTATATTTATCATCCTGCTTTGCTCCCATACTCAAAGCATGCATGGACAGATCATTTGGTTGAACTAGTCTTTTCTTATACCCAGGGGCAGTAAATTCACTCTTCTCTATAGTGTAAAGGGAATATAAGGCTTTGTATATTGATCTGTTGGCAAGGTTAGTAAAAAGGGTGGGTGTGTGTCTATTCAGTGTAGTTATATTTCTTGGAAAAATGTAAAGGTATCTTTGAATAGTTTCCTAATACTTGATGGCTTAGGGTAACAGTTAAGAATTTATGGAAATCATTACATTTTTTACTAACAAGATATACTTTTTTCTTATAGTGCATCACATGTGATTGTCTCTTTAGTAGAAGATTATCCAAATTATATGATCATAAATCTAGACAAGGTGAGTTTTATAAAAATGAGCTTCATGAAAGTTATCTACATTTTTAAAGGTATTAGAATCCTGTCATGCTGATATTTTAGTTCTTTATTTAGTCATTTCAGCAACTTAGGGACCTGTATAGTTATGTATTCATGCTGTATTTAATATTACATAAAGTCTTTTGAAACTTTTTTATTTATTATGATAACCCATAAAGTAAAGGTCTGAAGAGCAGTATTTTTACCAAAAAAAAAATCTTCACCCTAAATTTAATATTTAGTGTAATCTTGTGATTATTAACCTTTTTTGGAGTTGGAATATTCCAAATTATTTGACTTTATTCTTTGATTTTATAACCGCCATCTCATGGAAGATTGTATTTTTTAAAATTAAAATGTAAATAAATTAATTTAATTTTGAGAACTTTTCTGTCATAATTGGAGTCTCCCGAGAGAGTCTGAAAGCCTGGATTGGTAGTCACTGAATTTTTTACTTTAGACACAAGAGGCAGGTAGTCACTTTCATTTCATAAAACGTGATAGTAACAATGTCTAGTCAAAGGGTAATCCGTGAGTCTCGGGAATTTTTACCTGCCTTAATATGATGGGCAGTAGTTTCTTCCATTTCCACTGACTTACCACCGGTTACTCAGGAAAAAGTGTAATGAGTTACAATGTGTGACACAGGAGTAATTGTCTTCAACCGCTGATTCTTCTTCAGTGAGGAATGGTAAACTTTTCTAGCCCCTGGGGGCTGGAGGCAAATCTGGGTGGAAAAACTTTTTAAAGGAGAGGTTTATAACAACTAATTTTTTAAAAAAATTTTGAAACATTAACAAATTATATTTTTTGTTTGGTTTTTACTTTAATATATTAGAAACATCTAAAAATACAAAGTGCAAACACCTTGAGAAGACATGTTCTTGCACTATAATCAGAACATCTTTACAATAAATTGGTATTTTCTAGGAAAAGCTATCATCTCTTTTTGTGTTGTTTCTCCACCCTCCCTTCCCCTTGAATATTTTAAGCTGGATTACTGTGCAAGCTTGAAGAATCTTGAAACCATTTGTAACAAACAAAACTACAAATTTATACAGGTATGATAGTTTCTTATATAATTATTATACGGTGTCTTTAGTTACTCAGATATTGTATCTTCCTTCCACACTTGCGTGACGTGGGCTTGGAAAGCATGCTAATTAAAAACCTTTTAGCTTCCAGAAGCACCACATGCTGTAGATCTACACCACATATAAAGTTACATGTGATTTTTGGTGTCTCAGCAGATCTGTGAGTAGCTGATTGAACTCACATGGTTTGGGATTCTTTTAGGTCCTCACTATGCTTCTAAATAAGGCCTTGCTGGGATTTTGAAAGACTGGCATAAAGTGGGGTGTGACTTAGGCCACACAACAGCGAAAAAGCCCGCCATACAGCCTGTAGCATGGTCTTCTCCCGTGAGAGTTAATGGATTGGTTCTGGAAGACTGATTCTTACTAGCCACTCCCAAAAGAGTCCAAAGTATAAACCAGAGAGCCAGGTCATTGATTTGCAAAGGGGAATTTTAATGGCAAGTGTAACTATTTATCCTATGCTTTGTTTTTATTTTTATTTTGTAGTGGTTCATTTAATCATGAATCTTAAAGAATATACTGAGAAAACATTTCATAATTCTGTTCTGTATGAAGAAAGGGTTTCCTTCAGTCACCAAAGGATTATTGAGGATACACATTTTTGGAACTATACATATAACAAAAGTACTCATAAATTTACTTAGTTGTGATTAAACAGATTTTTCAAAACATCATTCCAGTTGTAACATGTACTTTAAGTACATTTCAATAATGTTTATCTCAAACTCTTGAAAATATGTTTAAAAAGTTTCCTGTTAACTTAATGATCTTAGGTTGGCAAGTCCTTTGTAGTAGTTAGTGCATAATAAAATATTTTAGGCATTAATTTGCAACAAAATTTTTGAATTGAGTATTTTATATCCTAGGATGCTGAAAAAGATGCGTCATTCATTACCATACTTACTCTAGCCCTCAGTTGAATTTTTAAGATATGCTCTCTTAAACCAGGGAGGAGAGAATGAATTCTTCTCTTATCATTTTTCTTTGTGGTTCCTGCAGTAGAATGGTTCTTACGAACGGGCATGTGCGATGAAACTCAGTGTTTTCATGTTCGGTCTCATACAGGGCGACATATGTGATCCTCACTTTGTGAAGCTGCTGTTTGAAACAGAGAAAATAGACATGGTCCTGCATTTCGCAGCACAAACACATGTCGGTGAGCATCGTTTTGTGTTACAGTTACAACAGGCACATTGTTTCCTCCAGTTGCTGATGAGCCCGCGTCGAAGTGCAGTCCTGGGGTTGAATGAGCGGGTACCTGTGTGTGTGTGTGTGTCTCTGAAAGAGCACGTACCGTGCTCTACCAGAGAACAAGCCAGCGGTCTCTGTACCACTGAGATCGCTGTCGTTGTTCAGGTCATTTCTGTTCAGGGAGGTTGAACTATAACCCTGAACACTCTCTCAAAACCGTGAGTTTAGCCAGATTCAGCGCAGCGATTACTTCTGGGCAGACGGACATTCAAACTGTGTTTGTTGTTTTTAAGTTGGGCATTGGATGCACATTTGAACAGTATATAATTGTACTTGTTTGTTCATCTGAGATTCTTCTCATCGTTTGTCTAGCATTTTATAGTGTGAGATACAAATACTCAGAAGAATTTAGAAGGAAGATTAAGTGAATGCTGATACTGCGAACACCTTTGTAGCCATGACCTAAGCAAAAGACAGAATGTTGCTGAGCCCTCTTTAGCTGTAGTGTTACTACTGCTTTAACCTGACTTCAAAGTTACCATTTCCCTTGGTTTTCTCTGTAGTTTTGCTGTCTGTTTATTTATTCAGAAATAGGATAGGTTTTGCCTGTTTTTTAAAATGTTATAAAAATTTATATATAAAATAACGTGTAGGTTTTTTGGTTGTGCTTTTTCCACCCAGCTGGACTCATCCATGTAGCTGAGTGTGGGTGTGATTTATTCATTTTCGGTGAGATAAAATATTTCATTCTCAGTATATACCACAATTTGTGTATCGATTCCACTACTGATGGACATTTGGGTTGTTTACGCTTTGGGCAATTCTCAGCAGTACTACCGTGAACATTCTTACCCATGTGTATTCTTTTCACGTGTATTGAAAAGAATGTGCCATCTGCAAATGTCGAGTACATTGTGATTACACATTTCTTGTGTTAAGTTGGCTGATCATGATCTCCAGATCTCCTGTCTATTTCTGATGAATTGAACTTTTTATCCTTATGAAATGATCTTTCTTCCTTGGTGATGTGTACTGCCTTGACATCAGTTTTGTTTGACATTAATATAGCTGTGTCACCTCTCCTTTGGTGTTATCTTTATGATATGTCTTTTTCTATCTTTTTATTTCCAACCTTTCTCTGACTTTGTGGTTTAGCTGTGTGTCTTATAAACAACTTATGTTTGGATTTTCTTTCATCTAGTCTGACCACCCTTGGTAGTTCCCCTAAACACTGAGTTTGTTGATCTGTTTGGATTTATTCCTTTCGTCTTATTATGTGCTCTCTGTTTTTCTCACCAGTTCTGTTTCTCTGCTTGTTTCTTTTTAAATTCTTTTTAAAATAATTCTTCCACGCCTTTTAAAAAATACCTTAAAAAATTCTTGCTCATTTAAGGGCTTGACTGAGGAGCTTTTCTTATTCTATTTTTCTTCCTCTACTAGCTTGGAAGTTACATATTCTGCCTGCATTCTGTGAGTGGTTTCCCTAGAAATTATAACATGTGTAATTGGCTTACCAAAGCCTAAAGTCTGTCAAAACCTCTGCTCACCTCCCAAGTAACACAAAGACCTTAGATACTTTAACTTGACTTATCTGTTATCAACTCTGGTATTTGTTCTGTCCCTAGGGTGAAACCGTTCTAGCTTTTTCTCTGTTTTTTAGATCTTTCATTTGTGCGTGCCTTCGAGTTCACCTATGTCAATGTGTACGGCACTCACGTGCTGGTGAGTGCAGCCCACGAAGCCAGGGTGGAGAAGTTCATCTACGTCAGCACAGACGAGGTGTACGGCGGCAGCCTCGACAAGGTGAGTGCAGGAAACGCCCGCCCGCCGGCTTCCCGTGGACCGGGGAGCAAGCCTGTCTCAGTAAGGCCTGCTCTGGGCTTGTTTCACCATCCTCCGGTTGCTCATCCTGGTGGGGCTGTCCGCGTGTCCTGCCATCGTGCCTTCCGTTCGATCCGACGGCGCCGCCCCACCGGCCCAGCAGTCATCTGAGGGCAGGCGTGTGTGTGATTTGACCTTTGACCGGCAGTACTTTACAAGAGAGCAGCCGATTTCATCTGCGTGTCCCAGTCTTGCACACACGGTGAATGGCATTCCCACGGCCAAAGCTCGTGGGCGCCAGGCTGCGGCACACTGCCCGTGCCGGCTGAGTGTGCGGCAACTCCTGCAGAGACGGGAACCCGTTCCCCTCGCCCGGTCGTTCGTGAGTGTCGCACTCATTTTATGCAAACGGATGGCTCCGTTTTCCAGTTTGTATTTTTCGTGGTCAGCAGTGACCTCATCCTGTTTTATTATTTTATTTTTACCAAAACTCATGTGAAAAAGAATCAAGTCGTTCGAAAATACTTACACTGAGAAAAAGCAGATCCTGACCACTTTCCAGTCCACAGTCCCAGCTCTGAGCAGCAGCCACTTTCCGTTCTCCTGGCCGTTTTTGTGAGGCTGTCTTACTCCTCCTTGTGCGTTGTCACGCCACAGCAGGAGTGACGGGGTAGCCAGGATGATCTGTGAAGTGTAAGGCAGGCCGTGACATCCCCGCGCTCTCACTCTGCTAGTGTTCCGGCGCTGGGCCCCAGGGCTCCACGTGTTCTGGCCTCCCCAGCCCTCCAGCCTCATCCCCCACGTCTCCCCCCTCTCACGGAGCTCCCTGTAGCTCCTTTGAACGCACTTCTGTCTCAGGGCCTCTGCACTTGCCCTTCTGCCTCTTGCCTGACGGGGTGGTCGAGAACTTGGAATAGGTTACTCTGCAGTACGTTCAAGCGCTGGGAAAAATGCTGGGCACATAGTTGGGGTTCATGACTGTTTTTTTTAACGTAGTGATTAGCATTTCAAGTTTGTAATAATATTTTCTGATTTTTCTACTTAGAAAGTATGCATGACATTTATTTTTAAATGTATCTTATTAAAATTAGGAGTTTGATGAGTCTTCGCCCAAGCAACCCACAAATCCTTACGCGTCCTCCAAAGCAGCCGCCGAGTGTTTTGTGCAGTCCTACTGGGAACGATACAAAGTAAGAACCGACTTAAAAACTCTCAAATCATTTTTCTTTGGGCTTAGGCGATTAAACTTCAAGTTAGCCTTAGCAGTGTTTCACTTCTAGGGTAGAGGACAGATACTGGGGAAAGGTATAGATTAAGGAATTCTAAACAACTGACTTTCTGTACCATGCGGACAAAGTAGGACCTGCTGCTTCCTCAGTTCCCCGTTTCAGGGCTGGCGTGTGCGTACACGAGAGTGCTTTTCCTGCTCAGTGACAGGCCGAGTGTGACGGCTCTAGCGACAAGCCCTGTTCTGAGTGGAGGCAGGCGGAGGCAGGGCAGGTTCCAGCTCCCCCGCGCGCCCCTCCCTGCCCGGCCCACCTCCCTTGGTGCCTTGTGAGTAGGAGGCAGGTTCCCGGGGGGGGGGTTCTGTGGTGTCAGTCTGAGGGTCTTAGCCGACCCGAGTCACCGACTCGAACACCCGCGTGTGCCTCCGCACTGCCCTTTCCCGGGAGTGCCGAGGGGCTGGGCCACAGGGGCAAGCCCGGGGCAGACGGCGGGGTCTCCTCTTTTCTTTTCGTGGCAGGTTTTTTATTTGTAAGGGCTGGTTCAGCAGGGGAAGCCGACTTGAAGTTGAACATCTAACCAAACCTAGAGTCTTAGAGGCAGTCTCTGAAATAACCAGCTGGAAATGTCCTTAATTTTCTTCCGTCAGACTTAGAAACCTGCCTTCATCTGCATTTATCCTCCCCTTGTCCCAGTGAAGGACAAATTCCTCCCCTTCCCTTTGGAACTCCTGCCTTTGTCTGAATCCTGTCGTCTCCTGTCTGTTCAGGGGCCTCACATGAGAAAAAGTCCCCTCACTTCTGTCCTCGCGGTGTGAGGAATCATTTAGCCAGAAGTGTCATGTTTTAGAACTTTAACTTTAGGTAATCATCATTCAGGACCTTTCCCTTCTCTCAATTCTTACTGCTCTCAGTTTCCAGTTGTCATCACGAGGAGCAGCAATGTCTATGGACCACACCAATACCCAGAAAAGGTACATTTTACTTCTGAATTTAGTGTGTGTTAGTGATGGGAACTTACTACTTATAATAGCCTCTCCAGTTATTTGTTCAGAATTTATGTAATTAGTAATGATACGTAATCTATGAATGTTACATAGGCCACATGCAGACCTGGTTTCAAGTTTGAACATTCAAGCTTAAGTCAGGCCCTTTGAGCGCCACCTCTAAATTGAGGAGTAGCGGTACGATCAGGCAGGAGTTTGGAGGCTCCGGTGAGACGAGGAGTGTGAGAGCGCCTTGTACTGTGCAGGGTTCCCCAGCACCGGGGGGCGGGGGGGGGTTCTGCCTGCGCTGCCTCCCGCACCGTTCAGACACCGGGTGTGCAGTCAGGCCAGTGTGTCGGGCTGTGCGGAGGGAGACTCGGGGCAGGGCGTGGGGCGGGAAGCCTGTGCAGGCATCTCTCAGACCCCACGGCAGTGGGGCACCAGCGTGGGACAGAGTCTTTCCAGGTGGGCGCAGACAGCGCATGCCAGGTCGGTCGCTCCAGTTGGGGAGTCCCGAGGGGCTCAGTGACCTCAGAGGGCACTTCGGAAATAGGGCCCCACAGCGGCACGAGTGGTGAGGGGAGCAGTGCAGGGGGAGGCCGAGAGTGCCTGGCTCTGTGTCACTGAACCCACGTGTCAGCGACCAGTGCCCGCCCTCTGCCTGAGTCTACAGACTGGGCCACATCTCACTCCCCTGCCGGATGCGCTCACCTGTTTTCCCAGGTGAGGGAAGGGCCCCTGTCATGGTCTGCTGGTAGTAATACCTACTTCACTTAGTTTATATAGTATCTTCAACAGGTTTATTATAAATGTAATAATTTGTCTTGCTCTGTTTAACATAAATTTTCTTTGAATCCAAAGCGCTGGAATGTAGTTTTTTAAAGAATTGATTTCCCAGGCACTTACTGAGTAGGTGTTGTATTTAAAGCAATAACTAAATAAGATTCCTGCTCTTGTAAAAATCAGCACAAAAGTGAGATTTGTGATGAAAGCAGTTGTTCACAAAGACATTTTCTGAAAACAGTATAAACATGTTCCACTGTTCATACTGTTTTCTTTTTATATTTTTGTAGCAGTTAACTTGTTTTGTGAAATAGGAAGCGATCTTAGAGTTCTTTCACTTATCAAAGTTATAATAGGTTTTTCTTGAACAGCTGATAATAATTGGAGTGTATCTATATGTATATTTCTTAACAATAACAATGTTTTAATCTTATGAGTGCAAATACATATTAGTGAGCAAATTCCCAAAGTCTGAAATGATATTTAAATATTCTTTTAGGTTATTCCAAAATTTATATCTTTACTACAGCACAACAGGAAATGGTATGTTATTATTCACCTTTGTACCCAGATGTTTCTCTGATATGTTGTTAGTTATTTGCTGACAGTCTTTCTTGAAAATCATAAAGTCTTAGTATTGGAGGCCACAGAATTGGATGTCTCAACAAATTTAAGAATTCCTTCTACAGTCAGTGTAATGGTTTCTTGTTTTTAAATCATGTATGTACTTTTAGAGGGGGGGAGGAGGGGGAAGGGAAGGGGGAGGAACAGCGATGCGAGGGGCAAGCACCCGTGGGTCGCCTCTCACAGGCCCCCAGCCGGGGACCCCGTCCTCGGCCCGGGCCTGCGCCCGGACTGCGCGCTGAACCCGCGAGCCTTTGGTCCACGGGCCGTGTTCAGCCCTCTGAGCCGTGTCGGCCAGGGCGAGGTTTTTAAATAAGTATGATCTGTAATTCGTCTTTACAGTGTATTTACTAAGATAATTTCAGTTCTTAAGTGAAGGGACTGAGCAAAAACAAAAACAGAAAACCCAAAGCGACTTATAAACACAACGGTATGGTGATTACCGGGGGCGGGGGCGGGGCGGTAGGGGAGGATGAAGAGGGTAAAGCGGGGATAAATAGTGGCAGAAGAAAAGTTTAGTTCTCAAGTGATTTATCCTGGAGCTTTTAGTGATCCCGTAAAATTTGACATCTATCTTTATATAACTTTTTGAGAAGATTTAATTCATAGAACTGTAGATATTTCTTCAAAATGAACCTAAGGCATACAGTTGATGAAAAAATCTCTCTCGGGGGTCACTTACACGTTTGCCGCTGTCCTACTGAGCACCCTCAGCAGGGCTGGAGATCGTTTAAGAACTCGGGATAAGATTCAGCAAAGTCGCGATGGGGTGTTTGCAGTCTGAGGTCTCCAGGATCGCCACGGGAATTGGCTTTTCTGGAGCTGTACCCAGTTGTTTGTTGCCTCGCTGTGGCTTGGGAGAGCTTACTTTTGACATTTTATGATGCCCTTTTATCCAACCTTCTTAGCTGCATCCATGGGTCAGGGCTTCAAACGAGGAACTTCCTGTATGCTACCGATGTCGTGGAAGCCTTCCTCACCGTCCTCAAGAAGGGGGAGCCCGGGGAGATCTACAACATCGGGAGCAGCCTCGAGATGTCGGTGCTGCAGCTGGCCCGCGAGCTCATCCAGCTGGTGCGTGCGCGCGCGCGCTTCAAGGTCGTCCGTCCCTCGGGGCAGCGGCCGGTCACCGCTTCAGGCAGAGCCAGCCGTTTGCAGTTTATTTGGTGAAAAGTGAAGTTTGATCAGTGACATTTGTAATTACGCACGCCAGCGAGTTTCCAGCGGTGTGCCACCGCAGGTTTCAAACACGCAGCACCTGACTCTTTAGTCGGGGCACTGGCCCCTCTCCCCGTAGATTGTCAGATAAAAACATGGCAGCAGCCAGCACAGCATTAGCCGTCCGGCGTAAGCGAATCAAAATCATACCTGTTTTTCGTCAGATCAGCGAAAAGCGTAATACATTTGTCGGCGTGCCGCAGGAGTTTAGCCGTTAGTTCACGTGTCCCCCGGGACAGAGAAGGCGGGAGAGCACTGCCGGCACCGTCTGTGCTGGGACACGTCGTGTGAGGCTGTGTCACCCGTCCAGCAGCAGTCTTTTCAGGGAAAACCCCGCAGGAGGTTAAGTGTGCGCACCCAGTAAAAGACTTACTTCAATTTCAGAAATGTGAGGTGGTGCCCTAAAATCAAGCAACAATGGAATGATATATAAATAATTGTGGTCGTGAGTGTAGGTGTGTATTTCTGAATATCAGTCGTAAAAAACCTCGGGACTCAGTAGAGAGGAAGGCTGAGCATATTGGGAAACTTGTTTGCCTCTGCACTGTCATCAGAATGCGCTGTGCTCCTAGCGTGGGTGTTCCACCCCGACGCCAGCGGGGTGTCCTGCAGTGGAGCTCCGTTCTGATGTGACCTGCCTGGAGACAGCACCCGGCCCCACGAGACTGCCCTCAGTTCAGATACCAGTTGTGAGGCCTGGCTGTCCCTGTGCTCCTGACCAGCCAGTGATAAATTGGAGGTGATTCGCTGAGTGGCTCACAGAACTGGGGAAAACAGCAGTTTACTTCCTAGATTACGGGTTTACAAGTTCTGCCCAGAAGGTATCCAGCCATGTAATGTGAAAGAGAGACATTTATTGTATCTTACACAAGATACAAGAAACATTGCACTTAGGACAGTGACACCTCAGTCCCCTTCAAAGTGGGCACCTTGGGACCTCACACAGTTCTCCCAGTCATCATCAGCTGCCCCATGGCATTTTCCTGAATGCTACCGATGGTCTGAAGTCCCTTCCCTTTCGAAGGTGATTTTAGTTTTGGGAGAAGCCAGAAGTCGCAGGGCACCAAGTCTGGGCTGTAGAGTGGCTGAGTCACCTGGGTGATTTGATGTTTCACCAAAAAAGTGCATGAGACATGATGCATGAGTGGGGGGAGTTGTCGGGATGAAGCTGCCAGTCACCAGTAGTCCATAGCTGTGGCCTTCTGAATCATCTGAATAGTTTCTGTGGAGGAATGTTCAAGGTTAGCACAAAATTTGATGCAGATTCATTGCTCTACTCACTCAGTCATTTTGAATGTGACATTTTGGATGTGAATGCACTGTGGTCACACAGTGCACGTGCTCACTCAGCAGCATCTCCCACCCCCACTGACTAGTACAGTGAAGTTGTCATTGTTCACACATGCACATTCCAGTCCACTGTCCTTGGCTGCCAGGTGACATCGATGCCACCAAACCGTTCTCATTATACTAACAATGGCTGGGCTTTTTCTGGACAGAACTTGTATTACGAAGGCTATATAACTCAGGAACAGCCAGATGGAGGACACACGTAAGGTCAACAAGGCATGAGGGAAGGGGCATGGAGTGTGCACACACTCTGTGGGCATGCCCTCTCCCAGCACCTTAGCAGGCTGGGAGCTCTCCATGGAGTCTTGTCAAGTAGGCATGATTGACTGACTCATTGGCCATGGGTGACTGACCCAGCCTCCTGCCCTCTCCTGGGTATGAAGGGAGTAGGCCTGAGTTCTGTGCCTCTAATCACATGGTTGGTTCCCCAGAAAACCAGTGCCCCACCTTATGGACTTCCCCAAAGACACGAACGTGAACTCCGGTGTGGTTGGAAGGGGCTGCTGTAAACAGCAGGAAGACTTTATCTCATCACTTAGGAAATCTCAAGTGTTCTACTCCTAGAACCAGTGCCAGGAACGGGGGTGACGACCAAGCCTGTGTTTCTTATTATAAATCACAATATCACACTGAGTAATAACCAAAAGCCAAACAAATGCATTTTCTGCCATAGTATACATCGTGTATTAACTGAGCTTCAGGTAGAATTTGGGCCGTAAAGTACAGATGGTGTTACTGAAACGCTGTTCGTCTCAGCTGTCTCCGCAGCTTTGAGGGGGTTGGACTTCTCACCCTTTGACTCTGCCAGGGAATACCTTGTTGTTCTCTGGTCTCATTTTATAATTGGACTCAAAGCCTTTTCCGTTTCGACAGATCAAGGAGACCAAGTCGGAGTCTGAAACGGAACGCTGGGTTGATTATGTCAGTGACAGGTGGGTACCAAGTGCAAACACCGGGAAAGACTGTGAGACCTGAGGTGCTCGCAGAATTATAAAATACAGGGAATGGGCCAAAACCAGTTGGTTCGTTTTGAGTTTCCTACTAAAATATTTTCCTAATTATAAATGTCGTACAAATAAAGTGTAACATTCTTACTTGCTAACTCTGTGATTTAAAGAAAGTTATTGACCCTTTCCAAGGCTGAGGTTTCCTCGAGTGTGAAATAGAGAAAAGACCATCTTGCTGTTTAACAAGAATTTTAGGGTTTGATTATAAACACAAAGTACCCGGCCCAGGGTGTGGAACCCAAGAGCCCTGATAAGTTTGTGTGTGTTTGCTGACTCATTCCTCAGACACGTAGGTATTATCCACTGCATTCATAGCTAGACTGTGCTGAGATAAGAACAGGACAAGCCGTGGGGAGTGTTAGGTATCTGGGGTTATAGATAATATTTTTAAAGGTTTTATTTATTTATTTTTACAGAGAGGGGAAGGGAGGGAGAAAGGGAGAGAAACATCACCGGTTGGAGACCTCGCCCACAACCCAGGCCTGTGCCCTCACTGGGAATCAAACCTGTGACCTTTGGATTTGCAGGCTGGTGCTCAGTCCACTGAGCCACACCAGCCAGGGCTAATTTTTTAAAAATAAATACTTTATGGCCCTGGCTGGCGTAGCTCAGTGGATTGATCGCGGGCTGCGAACCAAAGTGTCCGATTCCCAGCCAAGGTACATGCCTGGGTTGCAGGCCATAACCCCCAGCAACCGCACATTGATGTTTCTCTCTCTGTCTCTCTCCTTTCCCTCTCTAAAAGTGAATAAATAAAAAATCTTAAAAAAAAAACTTTATTTTACAAATGTTCTATGATCATGTTATCAAAGAGAATTTTTTTTAATTAAATTATGGTCGAGATGCAAGGATACATTATTTCTCATAATACTCAGATGTATAAATATATTTCCACAGTGTCATTTTAAATCTGTTTCGTTTCCCAAGACCCACCAATGACATGAGGTATCCAATGAAGTCAGAGAAGATACACGGCTTGGGATGGAGACCCAAAGTGCCTTGGAAAGAAGGAATAAAGAAAACAAGTATGTTGTGACTTGGTCCCTTAGGTGCTGAGGGTTTCAGAAAATTTTAAAGAAAAAGTAGTTTATTTTTAGAACACTACAAATTCAGTGGGATATTTTGATGAATCATTTTTACTTTTCAAATTGTTATATTTAATATATTTCCTAAGCCTCTTGAATTTCATAGAGTAACTTCTGATCTGCCCTCCTATATCTTACTGGCACTTTTCAGATTCCTGTTTCATTGATTCTCGGGTGTGCATTCCTTATTCTTTTCATACCCTTGGAAGGTGTGTGTTTTACAGTCACTCACATGTTAAAGTTATTGCAACTTTTTTCTTTTTTTGGTATGTAAAACAATGGTCCATCTTAAGTGACATCTTAGGTTTGATGAAATATATAGTTACAGTCTGTAAGTGTTGAGTCTTTTTATATTAAATAGGAGGCAAATTGACCATGTGCAGAAAATCTATTAAAATAAATGTATATAAGTGTATGTATGTTAAAGTTCTATTTAGAAACGTACTCATGAGAAAAAATATATTCAAACATAAAGTCTTGATTCAGAGCTTAAAATACAAAATACTAGTGTTACATTTTAAAAAGCAAATTAGAAGATTATTTTTTAACTAAAAAAACTTTAAGGCTAGTATAGCAAGATAAAATAATTTCACATATTAACAGAAGTAAACTCACATCATCTCACTATGCCTGTACTGCAGTATTGCTGCATCTGCATGAATAAAATACCACACTTATTTTCTGTAACTTTAAAACCAGTACAAATGGCTTATCTCCCTTTCTCCCTGGACTTCTTCAAATGAGAATGTCTTAAATACTTATACCAGCAAATTCAATATAATACTTTTGAAGTTAAAAAAAACAGTTGGTTTTTTAGATCTGAATTTTCAGATGATGAAATGTTTCTCATTGTCAGTTCCAAATCGAACTGTTGTCGTCATCGCGCCGCCCTTGGCCGCTGGTCAGCTGTCGGGCAGGACTCCTCTTCCTTACGGGAACCCGGTGAATTCTGGTGCACTGACGTTTGGTTTTTTAATTTTGGTCCTTGTCTTTTGTTTCCTTCCCTACCAGTTGAGTGGTACAGAGAGAATTTTCACAACTGGAAGAACGCGGAAAAGGCATTAGAGCCCTTCCCGGCGCAGGCACAGCCGCCGTTTGTGTAGACGGAGCTTTTGGAGAAGGAGGAGCCTTACCCTACCTCAACGAGTGATGTGAAGTCAAGCGACCAAATGAAGTGTCTTGTTTTCCTTTGGAACTAGATGCCTGACTTTTGGTATAAAATGCAGAAATTTTGCCCATCTTGAGAAGAGTTTAAGTATTCGAGTAGGATTTGAATATGAACATTCTTTCCGGAGCCTTCTCTGGGCTGGGAGCCAGGAGGCACAGACGGAGCCCTGCGCAGGCGTGGGCCGGAGGGGAGCTTCCCCCCCACATCTGGGAGCGAGGACGCGGAGCTCGGGCCGGCTGTGACCGCTGTGCCCTCGTCTCCCGCTGCCTGAGAAGTCTCGGGGGTTTTCCTTTTTAGACGGCGCGCGATGGTGTGCCCTGATTCATCTTTTTTTAAAGGTGCGCTCTCGTGCCACGTGAGCTTTGAAAGTGGGACCAAATGGAAGCACTTTTTAATTTTGGATAATTTTGCAATATTAAGTTAAATGTTTTTTTAAAACAAAGACGTAGTTTTTATATTTTCAAAATCAGTCATTGAACTCTGTGTAAGTAACCACATATTGGAAATTGTATTATGTACTTAATGTTTATCATGATTTTATTTATAAATTCAATATTTTAATGTATTATAGAGTCTGTTTTTGGGGGTAATGTATGTTTTTATTTTGCGGTACAAAAATTTTAAAATACTTGATTGCATATTTTTAATTCCTCTCTCCTCTAAGACTAAGATGATTTGAGAAATGTAACTGATTGGATATTACATTGAAAAATGGAAAAGAGTCAAAAACCATGCCCAACTCTCTGGCTGCGGTGCATGAGTGATGGTGGTTTTCTCTGTGAAGTAGGAAGCAAGGTGGGTTCTGAGCGCAGAGGTGGTGGGGGAGTGGGGAGGAGGGGAATAAGGACCTTGAGGAAGTGGAGGTTGGGAGAAGGGCAAGCAGACCCAAAATTAGTCAGAGGATTTGCCTGACAAACAGGAAGTGAAGTTGAACACTGGTAACTCTAGAATTTGGAGATTTGTGAACATGGTTAGATTGAGCCAGAATTGGGACTAGTCCGCAGCAGGTCGGGCAGGAGTAGAGAGTGAGGGCAAGCGAACTGGGGCTTCACTGGCCTTAGATGCGCAGGAAGGAAAATGCCCCTTGGAGGTAGCCCAGAGCCCTGGGAGACAGGGAGACGATAGCAGGCAAAGGGAGGCTGGGGTGAGAGCTCAGGGGCCCAGCAGTTACAGGCAGAAACAAGGCCGACCGGGAGCAAATGGTCCGTGGAGTTTGGTCACTGAGAGTAGATGACAAAATAACACTTTTTGTGTCCTTTGTTCTTGCACATATTTTTGTGTGCACTTTGAAAAAAATTCCTCACCCATGAATATGTTTATTGAATTGAGAGAAAGAGGAAGGGAGGTGGGGGGGAGAGAGAAAGAAACATCGATATGAGAGAGAAACATTGATTTCTTGTCTCCCATATGCACCCTGGCCGGGGATCGAACCGGCAACCTAGGTATGTGCCCTGACTGGGAATCGAAGTCACAGTCCTGTGGTGCACAGGGCGATGCTCCAACCAGCTGAGCCACCCAGCCAGGACTTGTGTACACTTTTATTTCCAACTTTAATGCCTTCACTTTATTGTTTGTCTAATCTCAGGAGATAACCTTGACAGACATTAGGAACATATAATGGAAAACCAGTTTATTTTTTTAATGCAAAAAAGTTTAAAAGAAATTAATCCTCCCTATCATAGGTCACAAGGAAAATGCAAATGAAAACGAGATACCCCTACACACCCATTAGAAAGCCCAAAATCTGTAACACTGATACCACCCAGTGCGGACAAGGGACTCCACTTATTGGAGGCATCTGGAGTAGGAATTCATAGACTTGAAGAGTAGAATAGCGGTTCACCAGGGGCTGGGGGTTGGGGGCTGGGCGGGGAGGGAAAGGGGGAGTTACTGTTTAATGGGCACAGAGTATGTTGGGATAATGAAAAGGTTCTGAAAGTGATAATGGTGGTAGTTGCATAACATTGTAAATTATACACTTAAAGTAGTTAACAAGGGGAACTTTTTGTTATGTATAGTTTATCATGATAATTTTAAAAAATCGCCCTCAGACCACCAGCATTGGCATCAGTTCTTAGAAATGCAGATTCCTGGCCCCATTTCCAACTCAGGGAATTGGCACCTCCGTGGGTGCGGCCTGGTGGTTCTGATGGACCCTAATGTCTGAGAACCGCTGCTGCCTGAAGCGGGCGGGGGGATGAGGCGGGAGAGGGATGGGGTGGCCAGGTCATGGAGGGCCTTGTCTGCCATGAAGAAATGCTTGGACTTTATCTCGCTGTTACTGTAAAACAGTTGGAGTCCGGGGGAATCTGGCCCATTGGCCAAGATGGTGGCAGTGGGGAGATTCTTACACTGAGTGTGTGGAAAGCTGGCAAGGGCATTGGGTAGGAAAAAGAAGCCGTAACCCTTCACCCCTTATCTCATCCCTCCCACAGTACAAGATTGGGGGCAGGAGCAGGGGAAGGCAGGTACATGCAGCATAGAAGCCAAAAAGTCAATTAATAGATATAATTTAAAAAAAAAATCAAACATGGAACTATAATGGACATACTGTTTCAGAGTCGCCTTTTTACGCTAAGCACTATATCACGAATGGTTTTATATGTTATGAGATCTTTGGCCACTTTTACTGACAGCAGAATTACAGCTTTGATAGCTTATTGTGCTAACGGCGTGGAAGATGAGCTGAAGGAAAGCAAGATTGAGCCCCTGCAGGATCCCAATGATGAAGCCGTCGCTGTAAATCAGGCTACCCACAGCCCAGCACTGCCCAAAAGGGATGGTGTCGAGGACAGACGTGAGAGGTGTTGAGATTAAAAACCAGATGATTAGACGAGGGAGGTGCACTTTCTTGACTTGGGTGGTATTTTAAGGTTGTAAATATTGCACTGCAAGGGGTGGAGAACGGTAAATTATGTTTGGGAGGTGATGAGCTTTAGACATCGGCGAGGCATGCAAAAGGAGATATCTGACAGAAAATCAGACACGAATCTGAGGCTCAGACTAGTGGGCAGGGTTCGAGAAAACCTGAGATTCATATGGGGTGGGCACGAGTAGGTTTACAGTTGCATTGTGACATTCTTTTGAGTTAATAAAGCTGTTGTAATCATCATCACCTGCATGTCTTTTTCCGTATGAACGACTGTAAACCTACCTGTGCCCACCCCTGTATTAATGAGTTCAGTGGCTATTAAGACCCAGAGAGCGGATTAAAATCTCCCCAAGGAGATCACACACAAGAACAAGGCTGATGGTGGGCGTCACGATTCACAAACACGCCATGAGAAATAACACCACGGTGTCAGTTTCAGGCAGAAGAGCCAGAGAGGTCGAGAAGGAATGGTTTAAAAACATGGTCAGAGGCGTGGCAGACAACAGAAGGAAGCAATACCACAGCAGTCAAGGGGATAGATAGTCAACAACAAGCAGGTGGCCGGCTGAAGTTGGGTAAGGTAAGGACTTGAAAAGCACCTGTTGGCTTGGGCAATAGACAGACAACATTTCTGGAGTTGACTTAGTGCAGTGTGGGGGAGAAGGAGAGCGTCTGGATAGTAAGGACCGAGTGGTGGTGATGAGACAGCACAGGCACGTGGGGCCGGGAATAGAGAATACAGGGCAGCCAGGAAGCCACGTTGAGACCACATGGTCAGAGAGAGTGCCAGATAGGCTGACCGCAAAGATGTCGCCACCCCGCCACTCCCTGCTCAGAAGAGCGGAGGGAGCCGATACCTCCCTTCTAACTGCTGGTGTCGAAGTCACTGACCTGCGCACGCAGTTGATCAAGATTTGACCTCTCTGCCTTTCTAGGGTGGCGGTCACGAACAGTCTGCCGGCCTGTCCACACAGTGCAGGCAAACATGGTTACCAGGCAACGCAGCTGGAAAAGGAAGTCGCCCTACCTGAGATGGAAAATTTCCCAAGCCTGCCTTTGACAAAGCCCACTTTGCCCCCAGCTTATACACGCGGCCCAGCAGAGCCAGCCGCCCAGCCAGTTCAGAGGGACCTCCTTCCTCTCCTCCATGGCGCCTCCCTTGTGCTCGAGCATAAGCTTAATAAAATGTGTCTGAAAGTGCCTCTGGGGTTTCCTCGCAATGTCTAACTTGAAGACCCCGAGAGCCTTAATGCCGATTGCAGTTACGGATCTCAGAATGGAGTGTGGGGGGCTACACATGAAGCCTGACAAGGCCAGGGGAGGCGGGCATGACGGGCGATACAGGCTCAGAAACCGACAGGAACCCCACAGGACCGTCTTGGACAGAAACATCCCGAACTGAAAGCGTGTCCCAAGGCAGAGACGTGTCCTTTCCCAGACCCCCCCAGATAACTGCTGCGCCAGACAGAGTGTGAGACCACAGCCCCCTCTTCGTTACCTTGTTCCCTACATTACCTTGTTCAGGCATCTCTCCGTGCTGGAAACGTTAGTTCTTAAGTAGTGTTTCTCCGTGTTCCTTTTTTCCAGGCCCAGAGATTTTCCTACTTTGCTTTCTCCCGCCCCTTTCATCTACCACCAGTAGATTTCACATAACCCTCCTTACATCCCCTCCTTTCATTCCCATGTTTAAAATAAGCTGCAAAACAGCCACTCTCTGGAACACTTCTCAGTCTGTTGAGATTTTGCTTCCTGGCCAATGTCATCAATTGGGTTCGGATAAACTCTGTAAAAAAAATCTACAGCTTTTGACTTTTTACATCCACAGGAGCTGAGAAAATCAAGATGGGGCCAGCCCTAAGGAGGGTCCAGGGTCCAGGAAAGTGTGGTGTGAGAAATGTATTGGATCTCGGTCCCAGGCTTCTGGGACAGCACTCCTAAAATTCTTGGAATTTCTAGAATGTTAGGAGTGTCTTTGTTATTTACAGGAGGCCCCGTGAAATCACACTTGAGTTTATGCTGATAAGTTGACTTAGTGTGGGGCCCCTAAGTAGCCTCAGGATGGCTCTGGCCACCAGAAATACCAAATGATTATGAAAGTAAGATTTTTTTAGAAACAGAGCCTAAAAATTGAGGTCTGTAAAAAACCCCTTGATCAGAGAGATTTGCTGACCGTCCAGGTTGGTGAACGGGCAGAGGTACTGGCAGGGGGTGCACCTGGAGAAGGCCTGGGGTTCTGCCTTCTTTTCCACACATCTTGCCTTGGGGGCATCTTCTGTCCGGCTGTTCTCGAGTTGTAACCTCTCTAATAATTGTACATAAAATGTTTCCCTGGGTTCTGTGAGCCTTTCTAGCAAATTATCAAACCTGAGGAGCAGGTCATGGGGACCTGAAATTGACAGCTAATCGTCAGGAGCACAAGTGACAACCTGGATTGGTGACTGGTGCCTGAGGTGAGGACAGTCTTTGCTTGTGGGATGTGTTGGGGGATCCAGGCAGCTATGTCACAACTGAATTGAATTGTAGGGCAGCCTGCTGGTGTCCTCAGAGAACTGAAGAATTGCTTGGTGTGGAAAAAAGCACGCTTTCTGGTGGTCAGAAGTGTGATAATTATAGAGAGTAATAATAGTAGAGAGTAGAGGAGGAAATTGAGTTTTTCCCTTCAAAAGGATCTTCAGAAACTAACTTCTCCCCCCCACCCCTCTCTCTCTCCCTGCCCCTCTCTCTCTCTCTGCATGGGATGGGATCCTGTAGTGTTCTGAAAGGGAGACTGGGCAGTAGAGAAGGAGAGGCTGATGGT